AAATATAAACTATGTTGAACATATTCAGTTGAAGACCGCATGGGTTCGAGGAAAGGCAATACTCATACATGGGCAAACATCTTACTGGTTCACTGCTTGCCAAAATTGTAAAAAAGGTTTGCGTGCTCAAGTTGGGTGGACAGTCACATGCATTCACTGCAACGTAGAAGGACCAGTTGAACCTCGGTATTCAAATAATAAAATTAAATACCTAATGTTTGTAAGTTGTTTATAATAATGTTTACATTGTCATTACAACATTAATTACAGGTCTAGATTTACCTTGGGAATTGAAGATAACAGTGGGCTTATACAAGCTGTCATTAGTGGTCCGGAGGCAGAGCAGCTACTTCCACTCACAGCAGCCCAAATGAGTTTGAACAAAAACCAAGTAAAAAATGCATATTTCTGTTATATTTAAACTAAATTCATCCACAGAACGGTTAATGTTATAGTTCAAATATTACTTTTACAACCAACAAAATGCACTTTTACACTAATTAATAAAACAATCTTGTGTATAAACTATATCCTTTTTAATTCTAACTTGCAGCTTGAAACTGCCATGGAGGTAGAAGCAAACTTTGAAAAAAAACAAATCACTTGTTTTATCAGACACTATATTCCAGATTACCAGGACAGGGACGAGTCAGGTTTTGCTGTTGTTGTTGTCTATGTCAATGAAGAGGACATTGAAGCTATAATGCCTGTAGAAGAAGCAAACACCTCTGCAGCTCCGCAAAACTTAGGAAAACAGGTTTAACATACATTTTATTGTGCAAAAATTTAGCTTTTACTTGACACATTTTTAGTTACTGATTATATGAATCATTTGTTCAGATAATAATCAAAACATTAATTTCACATGTACGCCGATGTTTAATAGGTCATTTTGGAAGAACAATTCACCCCGACGGCTCAGAAAGTGTTCACATCACTGCTTGATACCCCATCACCACCTGCGGTACAGAGAGAAAAAAGAGCAGGAGCAAAAAGATCAATCAATTTCCAGCTAGAATCAAGTAATGCAAGCAGCGCAACAACAGTTTCAGATGGTCAGCCGATAGAAGAGCCAACAAGTGAACCTTCCAGTAAAAGACAGAAACAAAATGCATGACATGCACTTCTATATTAATCCTCCTTTTGACTTAAAACCAACATCTTACAGGAATTGTCAATGCTTAATATTTTGTCTACCATCCATTTTGTTCTGAACTTGACTTTTGTTTATGTAATTCCGTTAAAAATTACGCTATGGACTTATATTAATATTTCCTAAGTTTGAATATTTTTCTAACTTAGAAGATATTAATATACATTTTGGGGATATTGTCAGTTATAACTGAGAATTTCCGAAACATTTCAGTCTGGACTTTTGTGTAATAGTTATTCTACTTCTAAACTATTATAATTGATGTCGATTAATGCAACATGTTCATGCATATATAGTTCGACTATTGCTTTATATTTTAATTTCTTATGTTATCTGTAGCAAGTAGTAACCATGGATGCCTACAAACATTACCTAAGAAACTTGTATTTCATATTTTATATTACTACTGGTTAATATAGTGACTGTGAATTATTAAAATATATTATTACATTTACAGTCAAACTTTTATACAACGTTCAAAGTGATTTCCATTATCTATCACAAAAAACTAATATATTTGCAGAAAATGTTTACCAAATGAAAGATCCAAGTCACATAAAAGTTCACCCTCAAATATTGTTATACTAATTAACATAAAAGATTCACATAAACAATTACTCACCCACCACATAAAACATTACATGAATACGGATAAGCTACATTCAAATCACAACAATAAAAAGTTGACACACCCACCACATAAAACATTACATGAATACGGATAAGCTACATTCAAATCACAACAATAAAAAGTTAACACAAACGATTACATAATATCAAATTAGAAAATGATTGTCTTCAGCTACAAAAAACACACAAATCACACAACATAATGTCGAATTACAAAACAGTTGTACCAAATGACATAAAACTTACATATCACACTACGCTAACAACAAAACCAACACACGTATCAAGAAACAAATGGAATATACACTTTGAACCTTCAACAATTCCACTCATAATAATATGTAAAACAAGAAAACAAATGGAATTTACACTTTCAACCTGCTAAATTTTTTTCTTCATATTCTCTTCTACTTTTTCAAAGATAAAAAAACATTAAATTACAATAGATAAATATCATGAAACAATTCGCCAATACTTATTTACAACTTTACATAAAAAATAATTACAAACGACAAATAACTATTTCCAATGTAAAGAAATTAAATAGTTATACAGCATATGGGCCGGCTGTGTTTAACACAGCCGGAAATTTGCTAGTAGTTAAGAGGAAATCAAATGTTACTAATTTCACTTAACTGGTAATGACAGATATGTAATTACATGGTCTAACATTGGTGAATTGTTTAACTCTGAGGGCAGTCATGTAATTATACTCCTCCCACCATCTCTTTTATTTTCTCCACTTTCCCCATCTCTCTCCTCTATCGTTACCTCCTCCACGGCCATCAGATCCCACCAGCCGTCGCCATCCGCCACACCTCCAATCGGAACCTCCATCTCAATCGCCGCATTATCCCTTCTCCGTTGTCGAAAGTTGCTCTAAATCTGGAACCGACAAAAAATCACCGTCGTCGTCCTGTCGTCTTCTTTCCGGTGCCATCGCCACCAGTCGTCGGCCGCCGCCTCAGCTTTCAAAATTTTCCAGAGATCCGACCGTCTGGCGAAGTCCAGCCATCGGACAAGATAGACTCTCCGTCAGCCCAGGCCTCAGTCATCCCCATCGTTGTCCGCCCAAGCCCCAACCATCCAACGCGCCTACCTTGCAACGTTGCTCGGATGGACGTCCCGGCGTCGACGATGCCAACAACTACACTCCCAGCACCTGGCGGCCGACACAGACAGGACGGCATATTTTGAGTTCTCTACATTCCAGCGGCCGCGTAGTGGGAGGCAGGCGACGGTGCGGCGAGAGGTGGGCAACAGGCGACGACGTCATGTGTGTATTATGTGTATGTGGGCAATCACTGGATGTTTTTTTTTCTCTTTTTTATTGTGTGGGGACTTGTTGAAAATTAGACACTTTAGAGGGACATTGATGCAATTCTAGAATTTACTATGTTGTATTCTAATATCTGGGTGATTGTAATTTATCAAAAGTCCAATATATTCCACATAAATAACATGAGCGATGCATATGCCAACTTCTTTCTCACCAAGAGAAAACCTAGTTTTATATGTTTTATTCTTTCATGTATGGTTACTTGCAATTGCAATTGCTAATTTACTATATGAAAATACAGAGATGGGAGAATTATGAGGAACATTAAAATCATTGAGAAGATAGAGTTGCCATTAAGCTTCACATGTTACAGAAGCAAGAGCCTTGTATTCAGTCGTTACAGATGGCCGACTAATAGTGGCCTACTTCTTTGATTTACAAGAGAGCAAACTAGTACAAAGAAACATTGCAGACCTAGTGATACACTTTCTAGAATCAACACATCCAGCACAATAACTATCACTAAAATACTTAAGGCTATGTTTGGTAAAACTAGCTGATAAGCTAGCTGATAGCTTATATGTAATTTTTGAGCTTATAGCTTATAGCTTATGACTTATAGCTGAAAAACTAGCTTATATGATAAAAGGTGTTTGGTAAATTAGCTGATAAGCTAGTTGAAATAAAAAATTCAACTAGCTTGTTTGAAAAGCTACCTAAAGTAGCTTATGAAATAAGCTCGAGCTTTGTAAAAATACTCGTCCTACCAAACGGGACTTATTTTAAATAGGGAGCTTATAAGCTAATCAAATAAGCTATAAGCTAGCTTATTTGGTTTACCAAACATACCCTAAATGTAAAGAGAAAGATCTAGAAAAGGTTATACAATGGTCGATATTGTGTTTTACCTAAGTACTCCGTGAGCAGCTGAGATGTGCTATTGTGTAGGAGCATAAATCGACGTAAGCATTGAACAATAAGTAAAATGTCAGGTTTGATTATTGTAATAGACAATCTGCCTACTAATATTCTATACTCAACAGCATCAAACAAAGTTGAATCATTTGTAGAAAAAGTTCAACTTTAAATTAGTGTCCATATGTGTTTTTGCAGGCTTAGCACCTAGAATACTGTGTCTGAGTATATCAAGCATTGTTCTAAAAATCGGCCTAGACGCCCGCCTAGGAGGCGTCTAGGCGCTAGACGGTGTCCGGGCGCCTCCGATTTGCACAAATCGGCAGAAAAAATCGGCCAGGCGGCTAGGCGGCGCCTAGGCGGGCCCAGGCGGCCCTAGGCGCTCCTAGGCGGCCTTGGCGGGCTCGGCGGCCTTGCGGTTAGGCGGCGCCTAGGCGGATCTAGGCGGGCTCGGCGGCAATTTTTCAGTTTTTTTATTTTTTTAAATATTAATTACATTATTTGTTCTCATGTTTTCTTTAAAATATATTAATTTGATTATTGGGACTTAAGTGTGTCGATATATTATAAGTTGAGATAATTTTATTTTGTAGGTAGTTAAAATAAATAAAAAATAAGGTACTTAATATTGATTTCTAGGCTCCGACTAGGCGCCGCCTAGGCCCCGCCTAGTCGCTCTAGGCGCTAGGCGCTGGTCGGGCGCCTAGCGACTTTTAGAACATTGATATCAAGAGCATACTTCCTTTTACCAAGATTAATTCCTGATTGTGAATGTACAACTTTTAAGCCTAAGGGGTATTTCAAATAGCAGATGCTATCTATAGTCAATTCGAAACCGAAGATGTTAACAGCTGTCCCAGAAATATAGATAGCTCCACTGCATATTTGAATATAAATTGATGCACCAGATATTTAAATTCAATTCACTTGCATCAGTAAGCATCTACATCAAGATTCTTATATCAACAAGATAAGCATGTAAGTCAGAAGAATGTCGAGAAGATGACAACTGTAATGGATTTATCAACCTTCGACTTTCGACCTCCAGCCTTCAATCACATCTTCCGGTAGAGCTCGAGTTTTGATGAAAGAATCCATGGAGAATATAGTCTGAGCAATCGAGGCCACGGTAAATAAACAATTTTTACAATGTCAACAAAGTGATGTGGATAAACCATGATCACTTCTTGAATAGATAATGTTCCTTTTTTATGGGAGTTTCAACGTATGTATATAGTATGCAATCGCTCACTTGTAGATAAAACAATGTTACTTTTGAAGAAATAAACGAGCATGCGGGTAATGAAGATGCAAAAGATCAACAATGAACAATAAAAAAACAAAGACATACCTTCATGTATGAATTCAGATAGGTAAGTGATGGTGGGACAGACCACTTCTTATAGTGTCCCAAAGCAATCTCAAGATGGTAGAGCTTTGGTGCAAGTGACAAATCAGCTGCCGATATCACTTCCCCATTGATAAATGGGCCCTACAAGCGAACATTTAAACTAAACAAAGGAGAAAGAAAAAGAATGTAGAGTTCATCTAATTAACTGACATGTTGCTGTATTTATTGGCAAAAATAAGACAGAAGAACTGTTTAAAACTTTTGACCCACTGCTGAAATTAAGCGTTTGATAGTATTTTCACTTAATGTCTAAGTTTGCAAGCGAAAACGAAAGATGTGCTATTCTTTTCCAACCTGAATTCTCTCTACTGAGGAAAACTGGAAAATAGAAACATTTTGCATAGTACATGAAAGACCTGGAAAACATAACTCGCATATACTTGTGTGATCCAACGTATGATTAATTGTTGGTATATATTAAATAGACATGAAAGCGAACAAAAAAAAAAAAAAAATGTTGCTCACACAGTCCTCAAGATAACCATTGAAGTCCCCGAGCTCAGTCAGTAATGTTTGCTCCGTTCCATCATTTGGGTCTTTGCTTTTAAGAAATCCAATAAATGTCGAGAATATCTTGGAACCACTACAAAAGAAAGATTCAGACAAACAATATGAATTTGCCTCTGCCAATAATATGCTGATATTCATCCTAGTACTAATTTCATTAATACATTTGTCACAAGCTAATGAATACACACAAGTGTTAATTGTTTGAGCTGGCCATAAATTTTAGCACAAAGAGAACAGGTCGATTACTCGAAAACAGAAATAGAACATATAGAATGCATCAGCATTAATATTTAAAAACAATTTCAAGCATCCTAAGTGAAGCAAGATATGGTAAACAGAAACCATACGTACATCCAAAACCAAAAAAAAAGATGTTATCTTTTCTTTTCTTTATAGAAAAATCAACCACAATCCAATAAGTCATAGTACTACATAATCCTGTAAAGTGAATAGCAGAGCACCTGCAAGATTCAAAAATCATATAGATTTTTAGGAATAAAGTTATAAAATTAGTCAAAGAAAAGCTTCAACCATAAATTTTAATTTCTCGTGAACTAGGAATCAGCTAACAGATATCCTCAAGGCAAAATGATCAGACTTGACCAGGCCGCTGTATTGGTGAGAGAACCTCAACTTCACGAATGCATTCTTCATTATAAAAATAAAATAAATATGCAACATACGCTGCAGCTTTCTCTGGTGGCGTTGCAAGTGGGGGTTCTGGAAACTTCTCTTCTAACGCCTGAGTTATAACATCAGAATCAGGTATCCACTTGTCATCGAGCTTTATCAAGGGAACTTTACCTTCGGGACTTATATTCAAGAACCTACACATACAGTAAAACGAAGCCGAGAACATAAATTCACCGCTCCGAAAAAGATAAAATCGAAAGGCAGTATAGTAGGTGGAATCGGGTCAATACCATTCAGGTTTGTTCCTCAAATCAACCAACTTCAAGTCATAGGGAAGATGTTTTTCCTCCAATGTTAACAAGACCCTTTGAGTGAATGGACCTGAAACCAGTCACAAGCATATTTGCAATTAAAAAAGACAACCTGAAATGAGCTAAAATGGAACTCAGAAGGAAAAAAGGAAATAAGTATGCTTTATGATGATAAAACAGTTTCTCGCTATTGCAGAGCAACTGACACCAATACTCTACAAATCACACCACAAACTGATTTTAGGAGAGCAAACAAAATGTCCCGCAAATATCAGCACAGATTCATAGACAGAAATTACCTATTTAACATTACATAGAACACCAAAACAATCTTCACTTACCAAAAACACAAAATAAAATTTAAAAAAAAAATATAAAAAGTCGATAAATTTCACTCAATTTCTACTGTCATTTTCAAGATGAGCAATTTTGGGAAGAATATTATCCAAAAACTTACAGTCTCCAAGCTTGTTGGGAGCTGTAACAGATTCTTTAGCGCAGACTTCAAGCGGGTCCGATGCTTTCGAGGACATTTTGACGCAGAATTGTTTCTGCCGGTCACCAGTTGCCGGCACACATGTGCGAGACGTGAGTAGAGACCGGGCGGGACAAGAGCGTATTTGAAGGTGCCTGATGGTGGCGGAGATGGACGTAGCCGACGACATTTTTTAGCTAAGACTTACTTTATTTATGTTGTTTTGATAAAAAGGTTGTAATCCCTAGAAAAATGGAGAAACGGTGTTAGTGGCACGGACCTGCGCCAAGTACCAGGCTCTATCTATTTCGCCTTCTATTTTTTATGAATGAGGTGAGTTTTAACTTTTAAGCCCAAAAACAACTCCTTGTCGCTCGATTTCAGCTCATTCTTTAAAACCGACTGATCTCGACTCTTTGAATTAAGCTAAACACCGTTTGATCTTTCAACCAACTTATTGGAACCGCCGGAAGTGGGGTCTGATTAGGTATCACAACGGAGCTCTCATTACAGCATTTCACGCCCCTCTTCAAGTATCCCTCAGGTTACGACGCGGAGGTTTGATGTCGGTCTTCAGAATTCAACATCTATCTCCTCTCATATTTGGATAGAGTTGAACGTTGCCGCTGCCGCCACCCTCTCGATTGCAGGCCACAGGGCTCGTGGCTGATTCAGTACCCGCTCATGCCCATCAGATCCACACTTCAGTCGATTCGCTACCGAATCTCGCACAGGAGAACTAACCAACTGATTTCCTCGCTTGCATCGGTGCCTCCACTCCAGAGAGGCGCATTCTTCATCCCGATTATGCTCCTCTCCGCCTACGTACTATTGTGCAGATGGATCAGCTGAGCTACCCATTGTTCATATTTGCATAGTCGTTTTTGTATTTTTTTTTTTTTTTTTTTTGTGCATTAGCCCACTCGTAGTGCAGACTGCTCACCTGGGCACCTGTCAATCCAGGCTCAAATTTTTCGCTTTGATTGTTTTTTCTTTTCTTTTTTGTTTATGTTGTTGTTGTTTGCTATTTGGACGTTTAGACTGGCGATTTTCAGTCTATTTAAGGACCTGACTATATATGTTGGCTTGCATGGGTCCATGTCCAATTAAAAAAAAAAAAGAAGCAAAATTACATACATGAACCCCTTTTTGTATTTAAACTTTAATCTTATACACGTAAGTATGTGAATTATAAAATAGAACCAACCACCCTTTATATACTAGGATGTCTTGATGCCAAGAAGAGTCGTGACTAGAAAAGATATCCAGTCGTATCTACTTTCTTAGCTTGTCACATCTCTATAATTTTAGACTCCTTAGCAAGGTACACTTTTCATTCTTAAAAGATTTTGTTCCCTCTTACCAAATGACACTTAACTGCTTAAGTCATTAGGTCATCCGAACGACCTCGCAACCCACCCACTCAAACCAGGTGAGGTCCTCTCATCTATTCGAGCTCCTAGAGAATCTCGACCTCCAAGTATTTTTATCAGGTCGACTGTATCTCGAGTTGTTTAAGCGAGCTCCTTGACAAGATCAAACGCCGCTACCAAGCTGAAACTCCCTTGAACAAGCCATAACCGAACTAACCACTCAGACCGGTTCACCGAGCTATTCTGAGTGCTATATCTAGTTTAGTTGTAAAATCACCTAACTATTACACTTATACATCATCTTTGCAATGTTTTATTGCAACCAATTATGCTAGGGGTGAGCAATGGTGCGGTTCGGTGAAAAACCGCACCGAATCACAGAAAACCAAAAACCGAACTTGACAAAAAAATAACTGAACTGCACCGCTATTTTTAAAAAACCGAACCGAAATTGAACTGAATTTTTTATACATTAAAATAACCGAACCGATCGTATCGAAATGCACGGTTTAGTTTCTCGATTTTATCTCAATTTCTATGTATATTTTATGCAATTTGGTGCAGTTCGAGGAAAAACCGCACCAAACTGAATAAAACCGAAAACCGAACTTAAGAAAAACTATAATCGCACTGCAAGAAAAAAACCGAACCGAACTGAAAATATTTACATTAAAAAAACGGAACTGAATTGCACCGAATTGCACGGTTCAACTTAATTTTTTAATTTCGGCTCGATTTTGCTCACCCGTAATTATTTTTTTTTTTTTGGTACAAGGGACCTTCCGGTTTCCGGATCCACAGGGGAACCGACTAATCCGGAATCGAGCCGGGTAGGACCACAAGGGCGGCAAAGCTCTCCCTCAAGAGTTTTAACACCGCTGCATTCCCAGGACTCGAACTCTCCCTCAAGAGTTTTAACACCGCTGCATTCCCAGGACTCGAACTCGAGACCACTGGTTAAGGTGGAAGAGACCCAAGCCATCTCATCCAAGTGCTCTTGGGTTCACCCGTAATTATTAGTTTTATCTTATATTGTATATAGGTGGTGAATAGGATAACTGAATAATCAAATCCTAAAATATCCCTAAAATCGGAAAAAGGAAGAAAATTACTATCATTTACAGTAGTTAAAAAATACACACACAGGTCGAGCGAGCCCCCACCCTCAAACCCTAGCCATGGACTCCACCCTCATTCAACCCCAATCCAAGCCCTCGGTTCCAAAACTCCCCGTCAAACGCAAAACCCCCGATCCAAATCCAGATCCGAGCCCAGAACCAATCGGCGACAGATCACCGCCGTTCAAGTTCCATCGAATATGGACCGAACCGGACGAGATCCGGTTCTTGCAGGGCCTCCTCGATTGCTCCTCTCAGAGCATGGCCTTCCCGAGGGATCTGGGAAATTTTTACGCCCGGTTCTCCAACACCATGTCGCAGCCGTACACGAAATCGCAGCTGTCGGAGAAGCTCCGGAGGCTCCGAAAGAAGTTCCGGGTCACATCGGCCCGGCTATCTAAGGGCCTCGGCCGATCGCAGTTGTCCACGCACGATCGCGCGCTCTACGACCTGTCCAAGCAGCTATGGCACACGGATTACGCTGCCACCTCGCCCTTCTGTGGCGCTAGGAATGTGAGTTTGAGTCACAGTCATAATAATATCAATGATATTACCGGTGGTGGTGGTGGTGGTGGTGGCAGTAGTAGTGATGGCAAAGCGAAAAAACCGAGTCTTGTTGGGATTAAGGTCGACTTTTCACCGACATTGCCTGTGATCATATCTGGTGTCGACAGGCAGAATGATGCCGGTTGTGAAGACGGCGAGCCCACTTTCGAAGATTTTCAGGAGGAGCACAATCTAGATGAGGGAGTTAACTTGAGTGAGGTGAACGTGAAGTTAGAAGAAGAGGATGGAGCTATGGAGGATGACGAGGGCTATGACATCGATGGTGAGGTGATCAGGAAAGGGCAGAATGGTCATTTTGGGCATGAGAGTGAAGTGGGGGAGCTAGCGGCGAAAGTGGTGATGAATGTGTTTGATGATTGTTTTAATGACTTAAGAAGGAGATTTTCAGGTGGTGAAGGGGTGGGTGCCGAGAGTTTTCAGACTCGGTGGCAGAGGCAAAGGATTGCGGAATTGGATGTTTTAGGGGGTCGGTTGAGGTTGGTTCTTGAGAATTCTCTTAGAAAGGATTAAGTCAGTCTATTAGTGGATAGGAAAAAGAAAGGCCTTTCCTTTTTGCAGGCTTGTTTTGGTTTTGTTTATAGATTCATTTATCTATGTTTTTGCATTAGTGTAATAATAGCTACTTAAGATAAATGTACATTTGGTGATGGCCATGGGTTATATGAGAAGCTCTTGGTTCTAATATCGGATTCCTTCTTTAACTCAATAGTTTATGTTTTAGTTACATTGAGTTTTGGTTACATTGACTTATTGGCGTAAAAAACAATATTTCCTGACTAGAGGCTACGTGATAATTGAATAGATATATGAACCTTGTTAGACTGCTTCAGAAGCTGTTTTTTTACCTTTCTTGTTTATAGTTAGTTTTTGAAGGAGATCTTTCGCAGGTTATGAAAATGTCTCTCGAACCTCTTGAGTACCATGTAGCTCTGTATGACAATGATCAATAGAGTGACATCTCAAGAGATTGAAATGCTATTTTATGCTTTTGCCTTCTTACAAATCTGTTGACTTGCCACTTCTATCATCACCAATTAACAGTCCTTTTCTGTCTTGGTGTTGAAATATTACATGCTCAACGAACATGAAGAGCCATTAGTTCTATGAACTCTGTCGAAGATCGCAGAACCTCGGATAAAGAAATATGTTTTATCCTTTACTCTAGAAATGCCCGGTGATCATAAAATGGTTTAGTATTTGCTGATATTTGTGCAGGTATTGGTTACTTAAATGAGGTGGGTATCTGTGGTGGTCAGATTGGAGATTTTCTTTTATTTGTCCTGCAAGGCAAATCGTTTTTGTTTCTTGCAGTACATTCTCTACCTCGTATTTAAAGGTTTTAACGAAAAGGATTTCATTTTTACAGGGCCAAATTTCTACTCTGTTCATGGTTTGACACGTGCCCTTATGCAAAATTAAAGTTCTGGGTTTAATGTTGTCCACAGTCCATCTGATAAGGTATATATTTTAAGTTGCCAAAATTTGATGAAGAAACACGGATTTTCGCAATCATACTAATGCCTGCGTAGTGCTTATTCTCCTTGAGACCCTGCATGAAGGTGTTTTGAGCTGATATAACCAATGTTAATATAACTATTGCATTTTGTGTGAAGTATGAAATTTCAGTTGTTCTTCCCTTGAGAATATGTTTTTCAGTCCTTTATTGGAATATGTGGATGAATTTCATAAAGGGGCTGTTTTGGAAAGTTTACGATTAAAATGGTATCTTTGGTTGGGTGCATAGTTCAAGACTTGAAGGAAAACTTTGATACCCCTTGTCCGTGGTTAGACCTGTAGGCTGCACCAAGTAACCCAAATTAATAAGATATTATAGTCCAGTAATTTATATGTTTTGGTAGATATAATTGTCACCCAATTATACCTTTTTGAAAAAAAAGAGAGTGTCTATATATATATATTTGTTTAAAAAATATGTCATATTAGCCCGTATAATCTTTAGACTGCTTCAAATAATAATTTTTGTTCATCTAACTCTTGTGTGAGGTAGCTCTGACGTGGGAATTTATGAAGAAAATATATAATTATACATCAGATATCATACTTATATTGATAATCTTTTTGAAATATGCTATTTTCTATTAAAAATATGTAAATTTTATTAAAAAAAAATAATAGTATATTGGCCAGTTAACTTGACAACACAGTTGTGATATATCTAAAGTGCATTGATAAAGAAGAAAGAATAAAAAGGAAAAGATGTATGGGAAAAGTGTTGGGTGATGAAGAGCTTTGGTGTTGGCCATCCCCTTCCCCAAAAATCCCTTCAGTAAGAAACCCTTGTCTTTCGTAAGAAGTTTCCCCTTCCCCGCGGCCCCCCTTTTTCAGCGTCGGCATCCGCTGCTCTGATCTAGTGCCCTCGTCTCCGTCCAAGTACCGCTCCACCTGCTGCCGAGGGAGAGGGCCACTAGCACGTGTTGGGGCCTCTGCGTCGGCTTCCGCTGTCCTTGATCTGGTGCCCTGCCACTGACCAGGATCGAAGAAGGCGTTTCTTCGTCGCACCACCTGCTGCCGAGGGAGAGGGCTAGTGGCAACGCCGCTGCGCCACCTTCTCCGGCAAAAGGCAGGGTCGTTGCTCATTCTCTTCGCCTCCTTCCTTGGGTCGGTCGATTGGCGGCCGCTTGGTTGTTTTTGTTTTGTTTTTTCAGGTTTGGCAGGGTTGGGATCTTGGTGCCCGTGTTCATATCTGTTGGTGGATTCCCCTCTGGTGCTCGGGTTAAGGCCCCTTCAATGCTGTGTTCGGGACGTGCCCCTTGAGCCTTCTTCTTTCGCCTTCTTGCTGGTTCTATCTAGCCCTTCGGTGGAGTTTTTAGATCTGGAGTTTGTTTCAGTGGATCTGATTGGGGGTTGCTTTGTTGTGTGGGTTGGCTAGTAGGCTTAGCCGTGGTCGGACGCGTGTTGCCTGCGTTGTGCGGGGAAGGTATTAGTCTATTTTATACATTAGGTGTGCGTTTAGTTGTTAGTGTCTTATTCTCCTTTTTTTTTTTCTTTTTTGTAGATTCTCCACTAGTTGGAGTTGTTTCGCCCCTTGAGGGTGTTTTGTTTTGTGTGGAAGTAGGCGTCCAGCTTCTGGTTTCAGCACACTTTTCTGGATCGATGTCGGTAGTTTAGTACCTTCCTTCGGGTTGAATTATTTTCTTTTTGAGTAATACAATCTATCGTTTCGTTAAAAAAAAAAAAAAGCAGCTTTTGCAAGTGGGAATCTCTCAAAGATCCCAGCCCCACACACAGAATGTCCCTGAACTTAATTGTACTGTCTGTATCTGTGACCTATTGAGAGGTTGAAATTGACCCAACAACTTGGGCCTCATCTCCCTCACCCAATTTTCACTTGCTTGGAATCTCATTCACTGCTTTTTGTTAAGTGCTAAGATTTTACTCGTGTGGATCTGAATGTGTTTAGGAGTTTAGGGTCATTTATCACTTGCCTCCTTGTATTATATGTACTTCACATTTTCACACCCTAATAAAGTTATAATCATTTCACCTTCTATTTGATAGTGTTTTACTTTTAGCTAAATTGTGCATTCTCTAAAATGGTATTGCTGGATGAGATATATAACAAAATGAAAATGGTCATGTTTTAGTAAATAACACAAACGCAATGATACAATAAAGGATTGGATATGAATCCATTCGGTTTTGGTTGAATGATAATAAAAATTATTGAAAGTGACCGTTAGTTAAAATTATGCGAGTAGATGAATAATGAATTAAAGTTGATGTCACGTGTGAGAATCATTATTTAATTATATTAATAATAAGTAAAATAATTAACGTGTTAAAAATAATAATTATATGTTAAAAATATTTATTCCTACATTTCAAGTAAAAAAATTAATATCCTTTTACTTGTACGTGTTCACCTATGTATTGAATTTACACAAATTATTCATTCAATCGAAACTTTTATATATATCTAGTTGAATATAGCATACCAATTGTTTATAGGGTTAATTGCATAAAAAAAATCTCAACATTTTCCTTAATTGCAAATAAAATTCAACTTTTTCAACTTTGCAAAAAAAACACCAAACGTTTATTAAGTGTTGCAATTTTGTCTCGAAAGCAGATTCGGGCCAATGCACCTTGATAGGGCCGATCGGAAAACTGACGTGGCACCAGAATTTTGACGTGGCAATCAATATTTTTTTTTTTTTTCAAAGTTGAAAAGGTTGTGTTTTATTCACAATTAAACAAAAGGTTATTCTTTTTTATGCAATTAACCCTTGTTTATAACATGACAGTGGTCTAATAATTGATTTGGGGTGTAAAGTGCGAATTGATATAATTTGAGGATCATAATGCTAATTACCAAAACCTTCAAATCCACCAACCACTTATTATTGGTGAATTTCACTCGTGTGCTCACCAAAAAGAAGACGGCCCTCTGATCCTCTGTTGTCCAACTCAACTCCACCACTCAGGGCAGGCGAAACGCAACTTGCCCATCGTTTTTGATTTCCCATATGGAAGCTAACTAATAACGTTGTATGGTATCTTTCTTACATCAGTCCTTTTTTCTTGTTGTTCGTGTAACAATCAATGGGTGGCGCTTCATATAATACTTTGTGTGGGTTTTGATTTCAGATTGCGTTTCTTTAATTTTGCGCGAACGTATAAATTGTGCCCAGTAGTTGGAACATCCGTCTGAGCTTGAAGGAGAGAAAAAGGTCGGTTCTTTTTAGCTGTTTCTACAGATTATGTGTCGTTGTGTTTATTGGCTGCGGGGGTTTTTAATCGATCAGGGATTTTTTTGGGTTGCTGACCCATAATCTGTTTGTTTGATTTAGATTTCAGTGCCTGGCCTGTGCTTGTTCTGACTGTATGAAAATTTGTTGTGATAAAGTTCTTCGATTTTGTGAACCGAGTTTGGTTGCGAGTCTTGCAGCGAACGGTGCTTTGGTGTAGACATTTCGAAGTACTTTAATGGGTTGGCCTTCCATGGAGCATGAGTTGTGTTGTCTTGGATATTATATAGAACTTTGTTATCAGTTCTTGTTAGCATTGTGATTCAAGTTAAGCTAAAAGAAAGAAAAGTGATCTCAAGGACATTGGATCTGTGATAAATTTTAAAAGTTCTTAATTTTTGGTGTATTAAAGTCACTGTTTTTCACTCGAAGATTTGGATAAGTGTTATTGAAAGCATTAAAAGGATTGTGTTAGAGAAAACTCAAGCACTTTAATGTCTGGTGTAAACATTGTTATATATGCTCTCATATCATGGTGGTGACAGTGGCCATAACGAAGTATATACTAGATTATTCTAGATCTTTCATGGGTTGCATTAACTGAACTCATGGTTACTATGGTTTTTGATGAGGGTTCAACTAACCCTCAGCCCCCCAGCCCAGGCTAGCCCAGGATTGCATGCTTGGTGACCTTATGCTCAGGGTCACATGTTCGAATCCTGGGGAGGGGAAAAACCACATATGAGCAGTGTGGAGGGCCATGAGTCCACTGTGGAACTCATTCGAGTCGGTGGGTCCCCCGGGGCATGAGCCAGTCAGGGCCACGGCTAGACTGGGCTCACCAGGCAGGGCCACGGCTAGCCTGGGCTGGGGGGACTGAGGGTTAGTTGAACCCTCATCAGTTTTCAATACACCTGATTCTTGACATAAGGGTGATTTTTAGATATATGCAATTATTGTTGATGATGGAGGTCATAGAGTATTTAAAACTTGATTGAAAGGTAAGTACCTTATGTGCATCACTCACAAGTCTGTGAATAGGCAAGGTAAATATAAAATTGTTGAATTTGCAGGCTGGATGTTTTAATGCTGGTCAAGTCACGTGTGTTATATTATTATCTTAATTGCAATTTTGCTTCGAGGAATAAAGTCACAAACACTTTGTTCGCTAATAGATAATTTCTGCTATTCACGAAACCTTTCTCCTAAATTTGTTTCGTCATATCCTAAAGTTTTTTTCTGAAGTGTTGGCTTGTCCCGTATGATATTGTCATTACAGATCTTTGTTATGTGGTAATACTTGTTGAGTTGTTTATGAAGCCCTAAAGGTTCATGCTTTGGTTCTTTTCATTTGCATGTAATGCACTGCATCAACTGACGATTAGTCTGCAATCTGGAACTTTGTACTTTAATGGTATAATTTGATGAGTTGGTGTAGATTTTCTCCAATATATTTAGTTTTCTGATTGGCATTCTACTGCCTTTGCCCCTGAGATAATATATATATATATATATTTATATATATATATATATATTTTTTCTTGTATGAAATGACTGTTTTCTGCCCTCAAATCATGTGCAGTTATGTTCTCACGTAACAACTCTATATTTTTTTTGGTTAGAAAACGATTCCGATGGGTTGGCGTGAGCATAAGCGAACCGTAAACGAAAAATTGCGCCGAACCAAGTGTTTTGATGCATTTTTTTTAGTTCAGTTTTGTTTTCAAAAAATCGCAGATCTGTTGGTTTGATTTGGTTATGCATTTAGTTGGTGCGGTATGCACTGAATCGAACTTCACACCATTAATTTCAATCTTCTTATGCATTCCTTTTTTTCTAATTTCTGAAATCTTTGTTCACTGGTCATGCCGTGTAAAACACTATTTATTTGCCCTCCTTTTGTCTATCTGACCCGCAGACCCAATCTATCGCATTACGACAACCCAAATTTGTAATCTCTCACAGCCCCAATCCTTGCCTCTAACTGCTGCTCTCTTCGAGACTTGTTGCTCGCTTCTCTCTGACCCACAGACACAATTTTGTCATTTGGTTTTTTAAGTTACAGTTCACATTTGTAAGAAAATCGTTTCTTGGTTTTGTGCGGTTTGCACCGAACTGCACTGTTGCACACTCCTAAAATCATATGGACTATGTTTCTCATTAGTGGTTTAACTGATTAGAATGCATTGCAGCCTAAGCTCTGTGTGTTTTACGTTTGTTCCTTTGTTTTTTTTTTGGTGAATTTCTAGATGAATTGTGATATGATTTGTACAATTTTCTGGTAGAAGAATCATGTGGCATACTTACTTTTCAAAGCTATGTAAAAGTTTTCACTTTTTTTAAAAAAGAAAACTTGCAGATGGGTGACGTGGCCAAAGATCTAGCTGCTGGTACAGTTGGTGGTGCAGCACAGCTGATATGCGGGCACCCTTTTGACACCATCAAAGTCAAACTCCAGAGTCAACCCGCCCCTCTTCCCGGACAGCTGCCCAAATATGCAGGAGCTATTGATGCCGTGAAGCAGACAATAGCAGCCGAAGGCCCCAGGGGTCTGTATAAGGGGATGGGGGCCCCACTTGCCACGGTGGCAGCCTTTAATGCCGTTCTCTTCACAGTCCGTGGCCAGATGGAGGCGCTGTTGAGGTCGGAGCCAGGTGTCACCCTTACCGTGGGCCAGCAGGTCGTTTGTGGGGCCGGGGCTGGTGTTGCCGTCTCGTTTCTCGCTTGCCCGACTGAACTCATCAAGTGCAGGTCAGTGTCTGTTTTTTTCCGATCGTGATGTGGGATGCAAAGTGCAAAATTTTCTAGAATACCCTTTAAGTTCTCTCCACACGGTTTAAAGGAATGATTTTCTTGCCCGAGACTCGATTGAGGCCCATATATTTGCTTATATTTACAGTTAAGGGCCCCCTCTTGGTCCCTCTGAGAACTGAAAACAAATTTGTTGCCTGAATTGAGAAAAAAGAATGAAGCTTTGTTTTTCATAAAATACTAATGAGTGTTTATATAACTTAGAATTGCAGTTGGGTTTGTCTAATGCAATTAAACTTTATGATTGAGTAGTTCTTTGGTTGAACTCATTTAGAATTTACCCCCCTCACTGCAGGTTGCAAGCCCAGAGCGCACTCGCCACTTCAGGCCCAGCCACAGTCGCCATAAAATATGGTGGGCCCATGGATGTGGCCCGGCATGTCCTCCAATCCGAAGGTGGGTCGAGGGGCCTCTTCAAGGGCATGATCCCCACGCTGGCCCGCGAGGTCCCGGGAAATGCTGTTTTGTTTGGAACGTATGAGGCTTTGAAGCAGTACCTTGCCGGGGGCCCAAACACTTCGGGCCTGGGCCAGGGTTCGCTGATTCTGGCGGGAGGCCTGGCAGGAGCAGCTTTCTGGGCCGCTGTATACCCAACTGATGTCGTCAAGAGCGTGCTCCAGGTGGACGACTACAAGAACCCGAAGTTCTCTGGGTCGGTTGATGCATTCCGGAAGATCTTGAGATCAGAAGGGGTGAAGGGGCTGTACAAGGGCTTCGGGCCCGCCATGGCCCGTAGTGTGCCAGCCAATGCGGCTTGCTTCCTGGCGTATGAAATTACTCGGTCCAGTTTGGGGTGATTTGGGGGTTATTTTTTTGAATTGGATGTTGCAATTGCTTTCTTTTTCCTGCATTTTTTGTTTATTTCATTTCTGATTCTTGGAGATTTTTAATGAACTTTGTTAATATCTTAATCGTTTAATTAAGAAGGTTGATTTTTATTTGGATTGGATGGGATTCATGAAATGGGTTCATCTTTATATCTTTGAATTTAGTATGCAGAGTTCGGCCATTGATGACATGGTTTCATTCTAATGTGGAGTGTTTTTGTGTGTGTGCTCGGGCTTTAAGAGTTGGTTGTGTTTGTCGCCAGGGCTGAGCACGGGTCTCGGAGATTACCGAACCGTACCGAAAACCGAACCGAATTCACCCCGAACCGAAAAATATCCGTTGACTGTTTGACTATCTCCGAACCGAACCGTACCGAAATTTTTTTCGGTACGGTTCTGGAGATTCATAAAATATCCGTACCGAGAACCGAACCGAACCGAAAATAACCGTGCCGAACCGAGGAACCGAACAAGAACCGATTCTAATTCATAAAATCCATATATATTTATATTATCTTTATACATAATTGTATTCAAATAAAATCTATACTCTATGTATATGTCCATAAAACTATCACTAGTACAATACCCGTGTATTACACGGGTGTTTGCTAATTTTTTTCTTAAGATTTAAAATTAATGAGAAAAAGTAGTTTGAAAATTTAAATACCTTTTATAAGAATATATATATTATTATATATTTATTATGATATTTTTTATTTGTGCGACTTACTTGTTTTATATTATACTAATTTTTTAACTTACAATATATAACTACATTGAATATAAATATATCAATTGAGAAATAATTTTATTTTCTAATGAATTTTAATAAATATTATTATTTTTTGTTATTATAAAGATAAATATAATTTATTTATTTTATATATACAATATGGATGTCAAATCGAAGATAATCAAAAGATGATTAATTTGATATATTATATATATAAACCGATAAGAAATACAAAAATTATCTACTTTTAAAATACATTTATAATTCAATAACTTATTGAAGGAAGCAAATCAAAATTTAGGGATATATTAGTCACTTAGTGCCTCATTATGAAAATTACAAAGAATTAAAGGGTTATATTAGTAAAAGTGATATTAAAATACCTAAGTTAGCTAAATAATATTTATGGAATACCCGAACCTAGATTATTAATTATTAATATATTAATATTATTTGTCCAAACCTAATTACGAAGCATGATTCTTCGCCAAATAAGATTCCGAAGCACCAGAAGCAGCCACGTAGGCTCAGCGCATTCGGAAATTATATATAGAGAGGATGAGTTATATTTCAAATTGAGTTGCGAAAAAACATCCAATATTGAACGTTAACATAATTTAAAAACGGGAAAATATTTATTTTATTTTGGTACTACTTATGAGACACTATTAAATCTAAGATCTCATTTTCGATTTTTTTTTAAAAGAAAATTAAATCAATATACTCTTCCTATTACAAAATTTGATAGTCAACATGTCAAATAGTTTATTAAGAAAATTATTAAATATAACTTAATAAAATTCAAATACCGAATGTTTGGGAAACCGACCTTTATGACTTAAGTCTTTCACGAATCTTGGAGAAAATTATTTATTTAAAGGTGATATATTCTAAAATAAAATTAACTTGAAAAATATCTTTATCATAATATTAGATTAAGAACGTAAATATCGATTATTTTATTAATTAAAATAAATATCTTCACTTTTTGAAAATAAACTTTATATGTACTATATCTGAATCTCACGATATCGGCCGGAAGAGATTAATTTATTTAGACATAATATATTTCTAAAATATCCTTTTATTTAACAAGTAACTATCTTTAAATGAACTATTGTTCATGTAGTCTTATCACTTACGAATTCTTTGGCATATAAACATTTAGCATATAAATCTTTCAAATTAAATTATGATATTTTGCAACTAAAAGATAATTATCAATTTGTTATAAAAAAAAAATAAAAAATCAACCACCTATTCTTACTATTAATTGACGAAATATCTTTTGAAATTAAGATAGGTTTATGATTTTCTTTCATCCATGATATACACCATCTAACATGCAATTAGAAGATTTTATTAAAAAAATAAAAATAAAAAAAATCTCCGAAATCTCCAATCCGTACCGAACCGACCCATTAAAACCGAATCTCCGAACCGAACTGAACCGAACCGAATTTCGGTTCGGTTCGGTCCGGAGATTCATTAGAACCGATTCGGTTCCGGAGATCCAATTTTTGAAATCTCCGAATTTTGGTTCCGTTCTGGAGATTTCTGGATCTCCGAACCGAACCGACCCGTGATCAACCCTATTTGTCGCTCAATATGAACGGATGGTTATTTAATATGTAAGGGGGTGATTGTTTATGGTTTGAATAGTAAAAAAACTAGAATTTTTTAATTATGGTTAAGTTTAAGAAAAAGTTGTATGGTTAGTTGTTAGTGGATATATTAAAATAGTATTTAAAATAAAATAGTTAAAGTTGATTTGATGTAAAGTAGGAGAAAAATGATTGGAAGTGATAGTTAGTTAAAATTAGTTAGAATTATGTGAGTGGATGAATAGTGAATTAAAGTTGATGTGATATGTAATAATGATTTGTTGATGTTATTTAATTATATAATAATATTGGAGATAGTGGGATTGAGTTAAAGTTGAGTTAAATTTGAATTTGAGTAAAAAAAATTACTGTAGGGATGATAAACAATCATGCCCTAAAATACTTTGAGCCTATATTTGTAATGTAAGTTTTTTGTAGCCTCTTAACTTCGAAAAAATGATTTTACATTACTAAACAAGATCGTTGTGTATTTTTATAAAATTTTATTCGAATTGAGTCGCTCGCGATCACAATACAGTTGTCTCGTGAAAACTCAAGAGTTTATCGAATTGAGTCGTTTGCATCCACAACTCGGTTTGCCTTATAAAAAATCAGACCCGACTCACTCATTTAGCTTAGCGAGCTAAGCTTGAACAACTAATCGGCTTGTGTATTAAAAGAATCGAGCTAAGCTTGTTCGAAAACAATTTTTTTTTTTTTAAATTGACAAATTAGTTAAACTCATCCACGTACGAATATTCAGAGGTGTATTTAATTGGAATTATTTCAATTTGAACTTTTTGAAACTTTTAAACAAAATTTCTTGTATCCAATTGATACTAGCGATATAGCACCCTGAAAATAGCCCGACACATTAGCATGAGAGAATAGCTCGGCTATGTCCGAGCTAGGAAAACTATCGTGAGATAATAGGAGAGGTACTCGGCCAAACAGCCCAGACACAGGTCTAAGGTGCCGAGCTTACAGAACCAATCGATCACATTAATGTTGGATTGGTGGGTTTGTGTAGTGTTGTTAAATTAAACGAGGTCGGCTCGGCTTGATTTCAAATCGTTAAGGATCAAGTTTAGCTCGGCTCTTTATTAAACGAGTCGAACTCGAGCTCATTTAAATCTCGTTTGACTAACGAGTTGAATTCGACTCGGCTCGATAAAGCTCGAAAAGAGAATTTCCATATAATTTTCTATAGTTTGACTCGTTAAAGCTTGAGATCGGTTTGTTAAGACTCGAACTCTGCTCATTATTAGAGACAAACAAACCTAATTCGAGCTAGATTTCAGGCTCGTTCATTTAAAAAGCCGAGCTAAGGGCCCGAGCTCGAGCTCGAGCACCCTAAACTCAAGCTTAGTTCGACTCGGTTATAGGCCTAATTATTGGTCACATTCCCAAACAAATTTTATAAAAGGGTAAATACCATTTTCACTATCTAAACTAAGTGTAATATCAAGTCAGTACCTTACATTCACATTATATCCATTTTCGTACTCTAATTATGAAACAACTCGCGATTTTCATGCCCTGTCGTTAGTTGCTCGTTAGAACTAACATAAAATTTCATACCTAATACTCATATAATATGTTAGTTTTAACTGACAACTAACGATGGATATGAAATCCTCAAGTTGTTTCATAATTACGGTACTAATATGTGAATGAGTGGTACTGATATTAAAATTACTCTTAATCTGAGTAACGAAATCGCAATTTAGACCACGAATAACAGCAACCTTTCCAAACACCCAACCATTCAACCACCCTAATATTTAATTACTTTTTCTCTCTTCCACATCATCAATAATCATCCCAACCATACCATTTCAATTTTGCAAGTTTATCAGCAACCACACCAACATCCAACCACAACCTTTTTTTTTCTTAATTTGATTTTATTTAATTATTATATTTTTTTTATTTCATTTTATTATAATTATTAAATTAATTCTTTTATTTGCTTTGATTTAATATAATTATATAATTATTTTATTTGATTTGATTTAAATAAGGCGATTAAATAAAATATAACCACATCGATTACATTAAATAGACAATTTCATAAATAGACGATTAAATAAAATTAAACCACAACGATTACATTAAATAGGCAATTACAAAAACAGACGATTACATAAAATAAAACTACATTGGCTAGACAATTGCATAAACAGGCGATTACATTAAATAGATGATTACATAAAAAAGAGCACAATCATATCAACTAAACCATCATGGGAATAATTCCTGCATAAGGCCGTTTTTGACAGCTTCTTCTTGAGGGGACAAATTGTTTTTACCCATCAAAGTGTTGAGCATATTCATTTTGTTGTTGAGCGTGTTCAAGGCTAATTTTTGCATCGTAATTTCTCCAATCTTGTTAATTGCTTCAATTTCTTTCTCACGTGTGATCCTCATTGCATTAAGTGCTTCAGTGTAGTCATCAGGAACAACTGGGGGTTGTGATGCAGTGGCTTTTCCTTTCCTTTTTCCTTTCGCCTTGTCTCTGCCAGTAGGACGACGAATTGTTGAAGTTTCACTAACTTGGATTTCATCGTTTGGGTCCTCATCTCCTCCGGTCGTTCTTGATCTTTTGGAGCTTCCACGATCTTCTTCAACATCATCATCGCCAGCATATTCTCGATCAATGCGAGTACGATGACGCTCAACACCCAATTTCAATTCCCACTTTGGATAATGACGCATAATCTTTTCAAAAACTTCATGATGCGTAAACTTCGTACCTTTTTCGCCGCTGTAAAATTTTTGAGCTATCGTTTCAACATCTGCATCAGACATACCGCTACTTTTTTGAGAATATGCTTCTTTGTAGGCGCCCAACCACTTGGTTACATTTGTGTTCAACCTCATATAATAATTCCTTAGCGATTCAATTGTTCTTTGTTGTCCCATAAACTTTGAGTTGTCCACACGAGCTTCCTCATACATTTCCGAGATACTTTTCCAAAATGTCTGACTATTTTGGTTTGTGCCAATAGCAGCATTCTGACTTACGGTAACCCAAGCATACATGAGTGCCAGATCTTCTTGATTTGTCCAAACTTTGGGAGTATGTGAAGTACTTGTGTTTTGGGACTGAATATTTTCTGGAGTGAGATCAATTGGAAACTGAGGGTTTGAATGGGTTTGAAAATATTGACTATCAAGATTTTCAAGGCTAGGATAATAATCTTCGGTGTTTGGGAAAGAATTGCTTCGATCCATTGATAAATTGAGAACAATAGAGTTTTGGTAATGAAAGGAAGATGAAATGGAGATGATTTTCTGGTGTGTGTGAAATATGCTAAATGAGGTCTCTATTTATCAACATTGATTGTGTTTTTTTGACATGGATTGTACTTTTTGACGAATGGATGAGATTAATTGTTTTTTGATGGATGGACGAGATTAATTGCTTTTTGATGGATGGACGAGATTAATTACTTTATTGATGAATGGTGGAGATCAAACTGACATGAATTGTACCTTTTGACATGGATTATGCTTTTTGATGGATGGATAGGATTAATTGCTTTTCGACGGATGGATAGGATTAATTACTTTTTGATGGATGGACGAGATTAATTGCTTTTTGATGGATGAACGAGATTAATTACTTTATTGATGAATGGTGGAGATCAAACTGACATGGATTGTGCTTTTTCACATGGATTATGCTTTTCGATTGATGGATAGGATTAATTGCTTTTCGACGGATGGATAGGATTAATTACTTTTTGATGGATAGACGAGATTAATTGCTTTTTGATGGATGAACGAGATTAATTACTTTATTGATGAATGGTGGAGATTAAACTGACATGGATTGTGCTTTTTCACATGGATTGTCATTGTATATCTGAAATTTATAACCCTGGAAAATTACAATATCAGTTATGACAATAAGAATTTACAATATTACGACACTCATATTGAAATATTACAACACTAAAACATTACAACATTGGAAAATTACGACACTGAGAAGTTATAACATTACAATATTACGACACTCATATTGAAATATTACGACACTAATAAGACATTACAACATTGAAAAATCATGAAACTGAAAATTTACAACATAAGAATATTAAGATACTGAGATATAACAAACGAATCTCAATTTTCACGCCCAAACTTTTGCCAAATGTGCTCGATAAGGTCTTTCTGCAGAGCAATGTGAGCTTCTTTGCTACGAAGTTGTGACCTATTTGTCATGTAGCTAGATAAACTTGCAATTCGTTTCGTAGAGAATTCAAAATTTAAATTATCATCATCTTCATTTTGAGGATTAGATCTTCTAGCCTCCATAAACTCTGTAGGATCACAATAGTTTAAGTAAGTGTGTCTCTCATCTTCCACTATCATATT